GGATTTGCCTCTTACTTCAGTGCATATCGTAACAACTCAGAACAGAGACTGCTTACCTACTCATCTGAAGTACACCTGAGTGGAGAAGGAGACTTTACTAGAAGAGAAATTTTACTTTGTGTGTTATTTTTCAGAGGACATATTTAAAAAAATGTAGGCCACGATGTACATGTAAAAAACTTGATTTGTCAGTTTACCTTGTATTAATTTGAATTTTTTTTCTTGGCAGATATCTTGGAAGTGAGACAACCTCCCATTTTATCTTAGCATTACATTTTTTCTATATTCACTAATAGATTGAGTATACTTGCAAATAACAACAAATATAAAATATTTATCTATTGTTACTCTTGTGATTATAGTATTAAACTATAGATTTAGGAACATTTCAATAAAACTGAGAAATGCCCTGTGGATGATTTTAATCAAATCAAATTTGATAGTAATAATATTGTAATTAATATCGGAGCTCACAGAAAAAAAATGATACAGATTGTTATCAGCAAATAGCTGCTATGTCAGCCAGCAAACTGTTTTACTGATCTTTAAAATGCTTTGATTGGCAGTTATTTATTTATTTTTGTAAGAGTTATTTTTGTTCTTGAAAAAAAAAAGTGATTTCTTTTTCACAAGTTTAATCCTAAATTTATTCCTTATGGCAGTATTAATGTCAAAATATTTCAGGCCCCAAGAGTTTCAGCAGTCAATTAATAAAAACTCTAATTTTACTTTGGGGATTATTACTGCAAAACGTAAGTTCTTTGCAAAAATAGCCTTCAAAGAGATTCATTTGAGTGGTCACAGAGTTGGCCCTTCTTTACAACTGTAGCTAGACTGAAAGTTAGAGCCAGACAATGTCTCTGTAAAATAATAATTTGTCATGGATATAACAAGGTTTACTCACAGTTTAAATAAGAATCATTTGGTCAACAAGAACCATGAGAAATGTCTTGGTATAATATAAGTATCCGAAACAACATGTATGAAGTTCAATGTATATTAAATTAATAGTACAATGTGAAGTTTTGATGTTTAATTCATATTTCCACTGTTGCATGTCGTATGGTTTCTTAAAAGGATGGTTACCGATCAAGAGCACTGCCTAGTTTGTTTTAATTTTCCCTAAAATGCTTAATAATACGGTGTTAAAGCTTTGTTTTTAGTGGAAAAGCATTTAGCTCCTGTTTCTAGTTGACAGGCGCGACCCCCCCGGGGTGGGGGCGGTCTCTGCATATGACGGGGTGGGGATGCTCGTCGGAAATTTTGAATTAAACCCCTAAAGGAGACGACCGATCTGGGCGTGGCCCAAGCTTTTTTTGGACCCCTAAAAGAGACCATGTTAAAACACAGACACTTGGATTATATGAATGGAGTAAATAAAACGAATTAAAAATATACATATCAAATATATATTTTTATATTTTTTCGCGTGCAACCCTAAATGAGAACTTGACGGCTAAACATGATGGCGTTTGGCCCAGAACACCCTAAGTGAGACCAAAATCCGAAATTACACCCCTAAGCGAGACGAAGACCTCCCCAACTCTTTCATATGCGGAGTCCTCCCCCGGGGGGGCACGACACTCAAAATGGTAACACATTAAAATTAAATCAATAACAATACAAGTATTAAATTCAAATCAACTAGGGGTACCTTCCGGCAAGTCAAGGGTACCCAACGACCGTTTGCTGTGAAATATTTGTTCGGAGAAGGAAAAGTTGCCTAGAATTGTCTATAGTCTCAGGAAGGCTAAGAATTTTTAAATGACCGTTCCATTCATGTACAATTTTCGAGGCTTACCTAATAAATTCCCTAGTTTAATTTTTCCTATTTCACTCACCAGGTTAAACTATATTTCCGTTTCGTGAAGAAAGAGGCCTAAAATTTTCGGAATCGAAAATGCGATGCAGAGAGGAATCAGAAAAAATTCTCACTTCACTGTCGTACAACTTTAAATTGCAGCTAAAATTTTCGGGAAAATGATACTGAATCCCTTGTAATTTCGAAAAGACTAAAGTTGCCCTAGGATGACCGAACAGATATAATTTTTTTTTAGAATACATTTCCGGAGACCTAACAGTACTCCGGATAGCCTAAAAAGAGTCTTCAATGCAATTAGGAGGAAACCGTCGTTTGGCCAACGAGGCGAATTCGTTTATCTTTTGTGGAATGTGCCTATCCTGATCTTCGCGATGTGTTACATAATTTAAGAGGTTTACAATAGATTCCGCTATAGAAAAGGATGGCACTCAACTCAAAAAAATTAAACTTCGGCACATTCTAGGCTTTCACTTCTATTAAACAATAACAACATGGCTCGAAGCTTTGTTGGTAAATTAGAGCAAGTTAGCGCTTATGTTTTATGGAAATTCAAAACTATAAACGTTAGAAAGTAAAATATAGTTCAAGTGAGGCCTTTGACTGCTGAAGTGAAAAATAAAAATAAAATTCCGAGTTTTCGCCGATCAACGGCATCATCAGGAATTAAAAAAATATATTAGAAAAATTGGTGTAAAGAAAAGTGTGTGGAAAGCGCCAGAATGGGGCGAAATGTATCAGACGTATAAACATATAAACTTGAATAAAATACATAGATCTAATGAGCGAGTGGCACAGGACAAAGAGTCTCTCGAGAGGCATATAAGACCATATAAATGATTCATAATGTGGTCTTCAAAACAAAAGGTGCGCAAATCACGGGAGTTTAGGGTTGTCTCATGTAAATCGAACTGCAAAAGAACATGCTGGCCCGGGTTGCTCGAAGCATGGTTAGTGCTAACCAGCGTTTAATACCATGGAAACCTATACATTTTGATACCTCTTAACGAACGGTTAGCGCTAACCAGGCTTCGAGCAACCGGCCCCAGGTTGACAAAAATCTCTCGAAAGGCAAAAATAAATTCTAAAAAAGCAAAGAGTCCTCAAATGCGTTGCATTCCTCACGGGAGGTGAGGACTGGCTTAATGTAAATCGAACTGCGCACAACACGCTGGTTCTGATAAAAGTTTTGAGAATATAACCCTATTCCTTGATTAGCTACCGCATAAAAGTTACGAAGGAAAGATAACACTGAAACCCTGGTTGTTCTGGCAGATTCGAGAAGCGAACACGCTACCTCAACGTAATCGAGCTGCGAAGAACAAGCTGGTTCTGACAAAAATTGGAGCGTAAACCCCTATTCCTTGATCAGCTGTTGCTTTAAACGCAAGTTATAAAGCAAACCAGAGCACTAATTGCCCTTTCACACTAGAAATCGTATTAAAGCTTGCTCACCTCTTTAATAGGTCCTCTTGAACAGACAACGAACAGCTGCACACTCGAACCACGAGTTGTAAATACAAGACCATGACGTCACAGCCCAAATATGGGGTCTTACTTACACCCAAATATGGTCAAAAATGCAAATTTTTTAGAGGGTTTCGCAGAATTTGAGAGTTTTTGCCCACATTACGCGGCATTATGAATCTGTCGTCGAGGCAACCGAGCAAAGAAGCGAGGTTGCCTTGTTGGCAATAAGAATCAAAACCAAAACACAAGATTAAAATACCTAACTAGCCAGAGATGAAGCATGATAATTTGCAGTTTATCTGTTTCCCACAGCTCTACAAAGTATCATGATCATAGCATCTGTAGCAGACAAGTGACAATACATCCATCCTGGACTTGTAACCCCTAAGTCTAGCCAGTTCCAGGCTCAAAGATAGTGAAGATGGTAGGGGAAACGAATCAAGAAAAGTCGCGCGAAAACTGCGTGGGGGCTGGCAAGAGACGAAGTAGTGAAGCTTGTANGATGAGAGTTGCAGGAGTAGGGGGGGGGGGTGAGGAGGGGGGAGGGGGGGAGGGGAGAGGGGTGAGAGACGAGAAGAGAGGGGGGGGGCGAGTGGGGGGGGGTGGGGAGGGGGGGGGGTGGGGTGGGGGGTAGGGGGGGGGGGGTGTGTTGGTGGTGGTGGGGGGGGGGGGTGGGGGGGGGGGGCATGAGTGATTTGGTTTTGGTGATAATTTTTTTCCCAAATCTCCGGTGATAGAACTTTTCCCCTAGATAAAGGTGGGTAAAGGTAAATGAAGGCTAGTAAAGGTAGGTGAAGGTAGACGAAGGTAAATGAAGGTTAGTGAAGGTAGATGAAGGTGAGTGAAGGCTAATAGAAGTAAATGAAGGTGCGTGTTGGGAAATTAAGGCTAGTGGAAGTAGATGAAGGTAAATGACGGCTAATGGAGGAAGATGAAGGCTGATGGAGGTAAATGAAGGTTAGCGGAGGTAGAAGACCAGTTAGGCTTTCCTTTTTTTTGGACCACTGCAGTGTTTACTTGTTCCAAAGTTATCAACTCTTTCACGCGATAGAATTCGTGGACCGACCCGTTCCGGAAAAGCTCTAAATCTCATTTAACCTTTCCTAAGCTTTCTTCGCAAGAACTGCCACAGTTCGGTCACGCAACGATTCTTATTTCCAGTTTCTACGGTCTCCGCTAGGAACGCCTGGGACCCCAACCGCACTTTTGTATCCTAATACCAAGAAAAACGGCTTGCAGATTATGATTCTCGCAGCTTACGCAAGCGAGACTAAAAATAGGGGACTGTGAACAGTCTATTAAATTTTGAAACAGTACCGAACCCAACCTTATCCCCAGAGTCTTCTTTTATTCCAATACCAGCCCGGTTTCAAATCCAACCTCAAATTGAGTATTGTAGTAATCTCGAAGAAATGGAGAAATGAAATCAGGGGTGATATTTAGAGAATTTTTTCCCTTTACTTAGAACAACATAAAGTATTCAAATGATTACGGGGTAGGTTATCCTGCAATGCTGACAGTTTTGTAGAAGTACGATGAATTTTGCTACATCGCACTGAACAAAACCACTGGATACACAAAGATGGGACATCTAACATAAAGCTGCATATTGCAACACATGGAATGTCATGGTTACCAAGGCAACGATTTAAATAGAATAAATAAGAGCTTTACAAAAACAACTATGTCACAATGAAACTGAGTCTGTCAACTCTGATAATTTTATTCTAACTCTCATCGCATGTTAAACCCATCTTCTTCAACATTGTACCATTTGTACCCTCTCTAGTTACATGGTAACTGTAATAATAATATCCTTATCCATCAATGATAAATGTAACTGAAAATTGAAGGAGTTACCTACTTCTGGTGTTAATTCAATAAGACCGACTTTACTATTTCTGAACCTGCAGTGGGTTAAAAGTCTTTAATTAAGCAATTAAGCTACAGTAGTATCAGCCTGTTTCTGTTTGCGCTGCAATAATTACACTTGGAGCTCATGAGATTCAGGTAAAGATGATTTGAGTTGGTCTCTCTTGTTAACAGGCATATAAGCCAAGTAAGACAAATAAAAATTTTCATTATATAAACATCAGTGATATACCAGGTGACCTTTAGTGTGGAAACATGATAACTTTTCACACGAAATGTTATCTTTAAATGTGAAAAGATCACTGTTGCTATGGTTACATAATATGGTGCGTTTTTGAAGTGAAATGGTTTGGTGTTTCATTGGTGTTCAGACAAAATAAACAATAAAATAGACATTACATGGCCGCTGTGAGATACAAAATGTGTGACGAAGTTCATGAAATAATCGAGAAATATTGTGTTGTAGTTGGGCCTTAAAGGCAGAGGTGACCTCCAGCCTAATATACTGGCATGTGTATGGTAAAATGTGGGAACAAAAACTAACCTATATTTAAAGGTGGTCTACATGTATTTGCATGGCAGGGTGCAGATCAGTGTGGAGCTGAGAAGTGTTTTTTTTTTGGAAGATATGACCTACACTTGCACTTCTTTTAAAAAAGATTCCTTGAGAGGTGTTTGTTACAACATTCCTGTTATAACATCACATCTAGCAACTAGGACAAAGTGGTAGTTGTTACAGTTTGGCCTGTCACAGATAATGCCATGTTTTATCCAGCATAAAAGTGAAAGCATGGTTTTAAGAATACATCTAGGTTAAAGGTATCTCATTAAAAACCTCTAGTTCATTATTTTCATGTACATTGTATGCAATATACAAAGCAGTGCCCAAATATCCAAAACTAATTCAAATAATTTGCGCCAGAAAGAAAATATTTACAGTTAAGGAAGTATATAAATATTCAGTGTAAACTAAAATCAAACAGTCAAAATTATTTACCAGTGCCATATTTTTAAGGTTATTAATCCAAGAGTATCACTTTTTTAGGACAGTATTAATATCTTTTCATGTCATTTTTGAAGGAAAAGGTCATTTCACAATGGTTCCTTTCTTTTCTTTCTGCACAAAGTTACAAGATAGATAAGTTACTAACCGAAATTATAACAGCTTCCAAACAGCTTTCAAACCCTAAGCCCGAAAATAATTTTTGGCTACCGTTATCTCAGAATATACTTGGCAACCTGATGATAAGGAGCTCAACATGAAGTTTAGCAGGAACATTGGACATGAGAAGCATTTTTTCCCGTGAAATTAGGAAACAGTTTATTTTAATGCTTCTTGTTTGAGCATGGTGGATCACTTCAGAAGACATGATTGGTAACATCCCAAACATTTTAAGGAAACAATCTTGTGTACCATCTTGGAATGAACTTATATATTATTTTTAAAATAGTCACCTAAAAAGTTAATGTCTCTTAAGTAAGGGTTCTTCGGAGTAATTTAATTAACTTTTGGTCTTTTTGCATTTATCATTTCCTTGCACACACTAATTTGACACTAGATTGTTTATTATAAAGAAGAAGAAGAAGTTAACAGTGTTAACTGTACGGTCCAGTTACAAGTCAAGCAACTTGTAAGACAAAACTGGACAAAAAAATACAGCAACTTACTTGTACAATTATTATACTGGCATTAAAAACTAAACACCAATATTTCCAATTTAATGCTGCAGGTTCAGAATCCATATTTTATACACACAATGATAATAACAATAATATTAATATTATTCAAAATAAATTAAATACAAACTTCCTTGACAATTCTCTGTGTTAACATAATCCATATACATCACTTGGGGTAAATAAGTTACGTTGATAGAAGAATTTCATAAAATCCCTCAGTAATAATTCTGTACAATATAATATTAATCTGATAAATACTTTGTAATAATTTCTCACTTTAAGGATGTATTTGATGTTTCACCCTGGCCCCAGCTGTTCAAAAGCTGGATAGCGCTATCCACAGGATGTATCTTTATCCAGTGGGTAAGTATTAGGGAAACCAATTGCGCTATCCAATGGATGGAGATTTACCCGGCGAATAGCACTATCTACCTTTTGAACAACTGCGGCTTGGTCATTACTCTCCAATTTTTAACATCTAAAAAGTGGAACCTAAAATTCAAGAGCCGCGCTTACTTGAAAGATGGATGCCACAAAGAATTGTTTTAACTACAGTATTATAATTTTCTTTATTAAACTAAAATAATAATTATTTTGATTGTCATCATATCAGGGCTAAATTGGGCAGCACTTATTTGAGTAAATTAAGTACATTTATATTGGTAACTTGTTATAGTCCCAACAGTAAACCAGGATCCATGCAATACAAGTTCAAAATAAAGTAATTTTAAAGCATTGATGCTCAGTAAACTAAGAAGTGTGAGGTCCTTTTATTTTATAATGCATTATTGCACTTCTCTGCAAAATATAAGAGCAGAATGCACCTGTAGTGATGTAGTGATGATGGGGAAGAATGAAAAAATAATTCACCTTAATATAGTGTCTAAAATCTCCTGTCACGAATACCATTGATACAAACAGTAACATTAAACAGAGGTGTGATCACTCTGGATTTAAAATATGTAGCAAAAACCTCCTTGTATCCTAAGAAGGCAAGAATTCCACAAGTCAGTTGGACATGCCCACAAAGCCTCCTTGTTTTCAGTTCTTCCAACCAACAAATGTTTAAAAAGCACCTTGTAAATTTGTCTCTTTCTCCCGGTTCTTGAAATAATTTCTCATCAATCCATAAATAACAATAATCTCAAACTTGAGTCATCTGTAATGGTAAATTAACAATGCAGTTCTGAGTCATAGCCAGTGAAGTCAGTCTATATTTCCTGTATTCAACAGGTCTCTGTTGTTCCCTTGTCCTGCAAGGGAAGCCTCCAATTAACATAAAACCAGGCAGAACTACTTCCAAACAAACCAACTTGGTCAGGTGCTTTGAAGACTCGCCTTCAATTTAAGTTGATAATAAACATAGCTGATGGTCCTAAATCTTCTTAATAAGGTTATAAATTTCGAATTTAGTTTGTCTATATAATCTGCTGGTTAAATAATCTTGCAATATTAAGCGCATCTTGAATAGCAGTGGTCAAAACACTGACTTGATTGCAGACTCAATGATGCAGCCTTTAAATTATTATTCTCCCATGACCAGCATGTAAGATTATTATTGATCTGTATATCCATCAATCGTTTCAAAATTAGCTGACTATTCATCGAAGATTGCCTCTAAAGCAATGTCATGTGAGTCATCCTCACTCCCTGTACGAGTTGTCCAGTAATGATGAAGCGTTTGGTATACAAGTTCATATTGTGGATCATTTTCAACCATTCCTCCCCTGAAGGTTTAAACAAACAAAATGTTAGACACTTATAAAACTTTACGAACCTCTTGACAATGAGTAGTTACACAGTATTTGTCATGTCTTGAGATGTATACAAGGCTGATGACAAGGAAACTCTAAGACTTTCTTCCATGTATGAGTGATCGACTATGATTAGGGTAAGAATAACACTCTGTGGAACCCCTCTGAGCCACAGATAAATCATTATGGTTGTATTGACAAGATGGAGGCACAATAGGGCCATTTAATTTGACACAGTTAACAACAAGGAGCACGGGCGTGGTCAGCAGTCGGTGGTTTGGCTCAAGTGCGGTCAGTCTTGCTTGCATCACCTCCACGTGCTCAGTACAGTGATTCCTGGTGGCCACTTCTTCGTTTAGCCTCTGGATCATTCGTTTATCATCTGATTCTCGCTGTTTTGCTGTTTGTTCAACCGCTTGTTTCTTTGTTGTCGTGGGCTATGCTTGGCTTTTGTGCAATCATTGTTTTCTCGCAATTTGGGCCAACAATCCTGGAGGGACATTTGTCTCCTAATTAGCATGGCCATGGTTTTCGCTTGGGTGTTTTGTCTGCAACTTTATGGTTCGAAAGTTCTACAACAGCCTGTCGGTCCTGTAATCATTAGACGGAACGACTGTGGTTTTGTATTCACTTGCTTAGCGGTCAAGTGGTTCACGAGCTTAGCAGTCAAGTGGTCCATGTGGTAGCTTTGTACACAGCTAGGACCTTTGAGTTCTTCGTTGAGCATTTGTGTAGCAGTTGTTTCAGCATTGAGGCAGTCGGTTTACTGTGCGATCGTTTCATCTGGTTTTGTTGGTTTACCTAGTTTTCCTCAGGGCAAGCGTTGTTGGCTTCTAGCGGTGTTTGGGGGAAATTTAACAAGTTGTCCGCCGCGGGCTTAGCAGTCTCCGCCTGCCAATGGTCAAACTCACAACTCAGACGGAACGTTGTTGCTTCGTCACAGGCAGGAGTATCAAACTGAGCAGTTTTGTGGCGGTCGCGTTAGAGTGAAGCGGTTGTTTTAGTGTTCCCCCTCAACCCTACCCTGTCTCTTTCCACAGATTCATCATGCATCAGTGTGACAGGTGCCTGGAAAGGGGGAAAGGGGGGCCATGGATGGGTAGTGGGGATTTGCCAGCCATGGGAGAGGATTCTAGGGCCTGACTGACCACAATGGAGGCCCTGGATACACCAGGCACCCACATTCCTTTTAGTACTTTGCAGTAAATAGTTTTAGTAGTACTATAAACATATTATAGTGTTTTTTGCACTTTTTGGAGTCTGTCTGCCCGTAAGTGTACAACTACTTGTATTGAGTTTTTTAGTATCCTTTTATAGCTTTTATAGTTTTTTCATGGGGTGTTGGGGCTGAACTTTTTGTAGCATTTACAGAGTTTGGATTGTTTATAGAGTGTTTGGGTTGGACGTTCGTGGCATTCACAGCTATTTGTAGCAATTATGAGGCGTTCGGGTTAGTTGTTTTGTGGCATTTAGAGTGTTTGTAGCATTTATGGGGCATTGGGGTTGGACCCTTGTGCCGTTTACAGCATTAATAATGTTTATTGGGCATCGGGGTTGGACATTTGTGGTGTTTTACAGTGTTTGTAGCGTTTATGGGGCTTTGGCACTGTATGTTTGGCACTTGGGTCTTGTTTAGCCTTTGCATGTTTCTACATGTTCAGCGTGGGTGGATGCCTCCAGGTTTGGTGTATAGGGGCTCAGGCTTCTCCCAGCTATGAGCCCCTTCTCTCCGAGCTTGGCATTTAGCTCGGAGGTCCCTTTGGCTTGGTGTGGGGGCTCATGGCTGGAGAGCACTGGTTTGCCGGCCAGGGGTGCGTAACTCTGTCTAGGGCCTGGCTGTGCCAAAAGTGGAAGCCCCTGGAGTTCCTATAATCTCCTATAAACGGCCCTAATTTGACACTACATAACAAGTATGATTTCAAACTGACTATCACTGCTAGATATCTTACATAAATCAATGGAAACCTCAATAAATATGGACTTTTGATGACTTTCCGTTATTTAGTCTGACCTTTTTGTCCGCTTTAATGCTTTTCTCACTTGTCCACTGGGCTCACCAGGCCCCAGTAGTTCAGAAGGTGGATAGCGCTATCCACTGAATAAAGGTCTGTCCAGTGGATAATGTAATAAAAAAGGGGTTTCCCAAATTAATACCTATCCATCCTAAATGATTTGTCCCACGTAAAGCGCTATCCAGGTTTTAAACAACTGAGGCCAGGCATCTTATTTGTTGTATAATCATAACCATAACAAAATTGTCAAATCTGATTGGCTATCAACTTCCCTGATTTCAGCCTTAATTGGACAGTTTAATAGGACAGTATGCATCATGCCTAAGTAACTGGACAGTATGCGCCATCACGCGCGCACTTAAATGGCTTTTTTTTTTCACTGCCAGCAAAACAAAATTTCGAATTTCTTGTGTTTTGATTTAAAAAATAGCCTTTTATATCACAAATTTTGTTAAAGTTATGATTAATTGGTAACAGAACTTTGTGTCGTCCAATTCGGTCAGTAATCATACTCGTGATTAAACAAATCGGGCTTCCGCTACGTGGTCGTCCGATTTTGTTAATCACTCGTATGATTACAGACCGAATTGGACTCCACTCAGTCCTGTTACCATTACTTAAAAACCTAAAACTGCACACAAGATAACGACTGGGCACTCCAAGGGATAGTCATTGGTTGATAAATAAAAGGAATGGGTTTTGCTAACAAGGTGGTTGTATAGTGGGTTTCCACTACAGGATAAGCCTGGGAAAAGAGTAAAAATTATAATATTATTACTTACTAAGAATTATTGTAAGTACTAACCTGTCTATTCTCATAAGGCTTACTATCTTGAGAATGTCTATACAATCTTCTTTCTAATAGTTGCAGACAAATTTGACAGTAAGTGAAAATGGTCAGTCCTGCGATAAAAACTTGTAACTGGAGGGGTTTGTGGAAAAAATCCGAAGAGGTTTGTGATCACTTGTCAGATTCCCCCTTTCTTCCCAGGGCTGTTACTAAAAGTTTTAGTTGCCAAGTGTTTTTTATTCTATCTTCCTTAATAGGCTTTTGCATTAATTGGTCATATGATCAACTTTCGGTAAACACAAAAACAGTTTGCTTTTGAAAAAAATTGTTAGCACAAGCTGAAAGAGCATATTAAAATTAGCTAACCTATAAATTTTCAGCCATATTTTCAAAAGTAGCGATTGCAACAGCTGCTGAAAATTAGAACAATTTGTACGAGAAAACAACTCTTGCCACCCAGTCACGCATGAATGGTTTTCCATACAAATCTTTGCAAATTTCGAAAATTTGAAACTGTTGTGAAATATTTCCTTAAGCGTGACAGGGCTCAAATCTCCTTTGAATTCATAACAGGCAATTTGAGCCCTTAAATGTGTAAGGGAAAGATTTAACAACAAATTAAAATTTAAGAATTTACAAGGATTTGTATAGCAAACCATTCATGCATGACTGGGTGGCAAGAGTTATTTTTCTCATACAAATCCTTCAAATTTTCAGCCACCATTGCAATCGCTACTTTGAGATATATGGCTGAAAATTACAGGGTACATAATTTTAATATGCTTTTTCAGCTCATGCTAACAAAATTTTTCAAAAGTGAACTGTTTTCGTCTTTGCCCAAAGTTGATCATGTGATCAACTAATGCAAAAGGCCTATTTGTTTCCTATGAAAGTAGCCGGTTTTCAAGCTTAAAATATCTGAGGGAAATCAGTGTCCCCTGGTCCTTACTGACAGCCCTGTGTTTAACAAGCAGATGGAAGGCAAATAATGAAACCTAATGGTTAATCACAGACCACTTGAGGCTTTTTTTCAACTTCAAGCAAACTTTACACAGTCAGCAACCAATGGTTAATTATATTCATACTTAAGAAGTAAAGAGCTTTCACGTGATGTTTGGAGGTTAAATAAATAATTATGCTGTTCTGATATGCAAGGATTTACAACAGACCACCTAATAAGCTAAAAAGGATCCTAAATACATAGAATGTCAACTTGTCAAATATGACTTTGTGGATATGGCACAGGCCATCAAGATTCTCACTTGTTAAGCTCCCAATTGATTGTTAGTGCCAGTATGACTTTACCTTTATCTGTTCAATTCCAATACTCGCTGCGATAAAACAGCCTGTCCTTCCCACACCAGCACTGTAAGAAATAAAATTTCAGTGGGTCAAAGGAAAGGCATGGACAATTTAAAGGAGAGGCTATAATGTTACTAACCTGCAGTGCACTACCACAGGCCCCTCTTTCACATCTTCCCTGTCCTGTGCAATGTGTACTTCTTCCACTAATCTGAGAAATTGTCTTGGTGAGTCTGGGACTCCATGGTCAGGCCAAGCAGTATACCAGTAATGATACACCCTTCGTGGAGCCTCTAATGACTGTGAGTGACTTATGTACAAAGATGTTATCTGATAACCATCTCGTCCTATGGCAGAATCAAATGTGACAACTATGTCTCCATACTTCTCTTGCATTCTAAAGGTTGGATCTGGCCAGTATCGTTCACATTTTGTCTGCGGAGTAAAGAGCACACTTGTTGTCAGTGGAAATGGTTTTGGTGCAGTGCTGTCAGTACCCACATCTCACTGCTGTGGTATGAGTTTGAGACAACACCACGTATAGGTGCATTGTAAAGTTAACTCCACGTTTCATTCATTCTCAAATGCTTCTTCTCTTCCCTGGTTAAACTCTGGATTTCTTCTTTTCCCCATGGACAGCAATGCTCTAACCATAAAAAATACACAATCATATACCCCCGACAAAGACTCCCAGTTGTCTTTGACTAGGCTCATGCCACCTCCTCTGGACTGGCAAAATGGGGAGGGGATAGGTAAAGGAACCTAATGTAAAAGATTGTTATAGTCAGCTACAAGGATGAAGCTATGACCATGTACTGGACAATGATCCCCATTAAGTGGTAGGTGAATTGACAGAATATCTGTTTTTTTCCCTGTGGTTTCTTTGCAAAAAAACAAGACCCTGCTTAGGATTACCCTCACAGAAATATATTTTTCTGTGAGGGTAATGATATGCCCTGCCCAGTGGTGCATCCTCACATAGGCCAAATAAGGAAGTGCATCTTACCCCACTAAGCCAAAAGATCACATTGTCAAATCTCCAACATTCATTACACATACGCCTTTTTCAAAAATACCATAACAATCTTTGTTGTCCCTCCAAAATATTGCATAAGCATTTTTTTCTGAAAACGATGCTTACGCAAAATTTTGGAGGGACAACAAGGAGTATTATGGCATGTTTGAAGGTAATGAAATTTAACAGATTATTAATTTTGATGAATATAGTTCACCACAAATTTAATTTCACTGCCTCTCATAGCCATACCTCATTTCTTTCTTTAAGTTTTGTAATCATTACAATAATGGGACACTGGTGATACCAAATCATTCTCCAAAAGTCTTTAACTGTACATGATAAAGGACCTGCAAGAAGAATGTTATTGTCTGTTGTCAGAAATATTCAGATAACCCATAATTCAATAGAAAAATGTTGTTAACACTTACAGGTGAATTAGACAACAACAACAACAGCAACACTTTATTAATAAACAAATAAAATTACAGAAGTATTGCGTGCAGCTAGCAAGGCCATCGAGGCGGGACAATGTGTGCAAAATATAACAATAAAGACTAAGGCCACTAACTAACGAAAGTTAACAGTTTACTAATAAGTGAAATAAAAATCGTAATATGGATGAGGACGAGATAACAGACTAATGAAAAAAAGAATTAAACAAAATAATAAATTAAAAGAAATATACAAGAAATTAAAGACTAAAAAGAACTTAAGAGGAAATAGGTAACTAATTAATCAAATTAAAAAACCACTGGGTACATGTACCTTGAGTTGCAATGTAAGCTTGTTTCCGACCCTTATAACCCTGAAATGCATTTTAATCTTGTGAGTTCACAGTCACGATAGTAAGAGCATTGAAGGGGAAAATATCCATTCAAGTCTGTTTTGTCCTAAAGATAGGAGTTTCCTGTGTTGCTTTTCCTGTGGTCTTGGGAAAGATGAATGCTAACAGGAGTAGTAATGACATTGTGCGACTAGGATTATAGACCAGGTAAATAAAATAATTAATAGTACATTATGCTAGTAACAGCGGGTACGGGAAGGGGAAGGTTGGAAATGAGTTCTGTAACAAACTAAGTTTACTCTATAACATTAACACAAACCGCTGAATTTGTGAATATATGGACAACAATTATGTGAAAAGAATGTTCTCAAGTTGTGGAAAAACTCAGGAAATATATTATGTCCACAAGTTTACCTTTACGTAAGAACAGAGAGAGGTTAGGAGAGACAAAACTTTGTACCTTAAAACCATCAAACAACTATACCTTTATAAAATTTGCATTAATGTAGATAGACAGCGGATCTCCAGGTACTTCTGGTAAATTTACTCTAGTCCTAGCATCTGAAAGAAGAAAATAATTTAGACAGTTATTCATAAAATCAGGAGCAACCACTGAAAATGATACACGGTATCTAGTGACTGCACATTTGATCTTCTGTAGAGTTCTACCTGTTGTATACAGCTATTGCGAGAAAGGTTGTCGGAAAAAGTGCAAGTGACAATCCCAAAAAGTATTGTGAGTGGCTTTGAATTCACTGTTCATCAAAGCAGTTTAAAAGAATGACAAGAGAGGCCATGGACATATGTTTGCAAGTGCTGAAAGAAAGCAACAAAAGTAGGTTCAACAGCTACAGTGTCAGGAACAATGTATTGATCATATCCCGATTACCTTTTGGGATTGTTGCATGCACATTTTTTCTGACAGCATTTCTCGAAATACCTGTAATAATACTTGGGACCAACTCGCATGGTAAAGAGACGACAACAGTCACCTCACACCAATGTAGCCCAAGTGCGAGTCATGGTATCCACACCACATGTGGGCTCAGCTTGCCCTA